CCAAGAATAAAGATACAGAGCATCACACGACTGAGAGTTCCTACCTATACCTTGTGGCTAATAGCCACTGATGGACCTCTGCTCCATATATGCTTATCTAATTCCCTTTTGAAGCCGTCCATGCTTGTAGCCGCCACCACTTCCTGTGGCAGTGAATTCCATGTGTTCGTCACTCTTTGGGTGAAGAAGGGCTTCCTTTTATCTGTTCTAACCCGACTGCTCAGCAGATGCTAACCACTACACCAAACTGGCTCCCTTGGGGGGTCCCTTTGGAGCACTCTGTTTTTATATTCCTCTGCCTACCCATGTCTGGACAAAGTCAAAAGACGAATCAACACCATTCAGACACGAGAAAGGAAGGCATTCTCCGGCAGCGGTTTATTGCTCTTCATCTAGGGGAGCCGCTCACGGCGTTTACACAAAGATGGCGAGAATGGAAACGTTGGGTAGCGAAACGTCCTGCCCGGGCAGACAGCAAGAAGTGCCAACATTCACATGGATTTCCCTTCAGCTCGGCCGGGCACTGGGTCCTCCCCAGAGGCAACACCGGCCAGACAATCCTCCCGCTGTGCCACCAACACCTCCGGCTCTCCTGGCAGGCCTGCTGGCTCTTCCGCAACAGACTAGCAGGCGGAAATCCAACAGATGCAGCTTTCCGTCTCGGTTAGCCCTGAGGAGGAACGTTTCAGCCCGCCAGACAGCTGGTAAAGGCATGAGAGCCCTGCCTGGGAACCAAAGACGGCTGCCTCAAAAAGCCGACCCTCTCAATGCCTCCCTGGCTGTTTCCCCGTCGCCTTTTTTTCACTGCCACCGCCGGGAAGTTTTTCGCCCTCACCTTGATGGCCCAGGCTAGCTTGATCTCGTCAGATCTCAGAAGCTAAGCAGGGTCGGCCCTGGTTAATACTTGGATGGGAGACCACCAAGGAAGAAGAAGAAGAGATTGGATTTCTACCCCGTCCTTCACTACCCGAAGGAGTCTCAGAGTGGCTTACAAACTCCTTTCCCTTCCCCTCCCCACAACAGACACCCTGTGAGGTGGGTGGGGCTGAGAGAGCTCTTGACAGAAACGGCTCTTTTTCAAGGACAGCTGTGCCAGAGCTTGCGACTGACCCAAGGTCACATCAGCAGGTGCAAGTGGAGGAGTGGGGAATCAAACCCGGTTCTCCCAGATTAGAGTCCGCACATTTAACCACTACACCAAACTGCTATGCAGAGGCAGGCAAGAGCAACCTAGACGGCTAAAACGTGACCAGTGCTCCCTCTAAGCTGAGTTAGTGTGCGCTAGATCAGTTTTTTAGCCTCTGGCTCACACATTTCTCTACCAGCTCAGGAAGGGATGGCTCCAGAGCAAACTAGTTTATGCCGCAGCCAAATCGCTCGCTCACAGCTTTCATGCCGGTAGCTCACAAAGTAGGATTTTTGCTCACAAGACTCCACAGCTTAGAGGGAGCGTTGGTCATGTGACCAGTGTTCCCTCTAAGCTGAGTTAGTGTGAGCTAGCTCACATATTTTTAGCCTCCGGCTCACACATTTGTGTCTTAGCTCAGGAAGGATGGCTCCAGAGCAAACTACTTTATGCCGCAGCCAAATCGCTCGCTCACAGCTTTAATGCCGGTAGCTCACAAAGTAGGATTTTTGCTCACAAGACTCCACAGCTTAGAGGGAGCGTTGGTCACGACCCTTCTAAATGCCCGCCTTCCTCACTGCTAGCCCCCTTCCCCTCTGATCCACTTATTCCCATCTGCCAGCGCTCCCACAAGAAGGCCAGTTTCCCTCTTGGCCTTGGTATCCATACTTACAGATGTCCCTGGGGAAAAAGGAATATCACCCCCCACACCCACACACACCCTGCACTATGCTTTGGATATTTAAAAAATTGTTTAGGATCAAGGAGAAAATATGCTTCCCACTGGAGAACTCCTACACAGTTATATTACAACAGGCTGCCCCATTTCAATGGGTGTGCCCGGCCTGCGTGGCAGAATGCCTAATCTGGCCCTGCTGGCATAAGAACATCAGAAGAGCCCTGCTGGATCAAACCAGTGGTCCATCTAGTCCAGCATCCTGTCTTACACAGTGGCCAACCAGATCTGCTGGACGGCCAACAACAGGGCACAGAGGCTGAGGCCTTCATAAGAACCTCAGAAGAGCCCTGCTGGATCAAACCAGTGGTCCATCTAGTCCAGCATCCTGTCTCACACGGTGGCCAACCCGTTCCTCTGGAGGGCCAACAACAGGGCATAGAGGCTGAGGCTTTCTTAAGAACATCAGAAGAGCCCTGCTGGATCAGACCGGTGGTCCCTCTAGTCCAGCATCCTGTCTCACACAGGGGCCAGCCAGTTCCTCTGGAGGTCCAACAGGAGGGCAGAGAGGCCGGGGACCTCATAAGAACATCAGAGGAGCCCTGCTGGATCAGACCAGGGGTCCATCTAGCCCAGCCTCCCGTCTCACACAGTGGCTAGCCAGTTCCGCCGGAGGGCCAACCACAGGGCAGAGAGGCTGAGGCCTTCCCCTCATGTTGCCTCCCAGCCCTGGGATTCAGAGGCTTAAGTGCCTCTGAATGTGGAGGTTCCCCTCAGTCACCATGGCTCGTAGCCCTTGATAGAATTCTCCTCCATGAATAGGTCTAAGCTGTCTTTGCCCGTGGCCGTCACTACATTGTCTGGCAGCGAATTCCGCATTTCAATCACTCGTTGCGTAAAGACCTTATTTCATTTTGCCCATCCCGAACCTACCGCCCATCGGCTTTATTGGATGCCCTGAAGTTCTAGTACCTTGGAAGGAAAAGTTCTCTCTGTCAGTTCTCTCCGCCCCGTGCATCAATTGATAAACCCCTCTCACTAAATTCATCCTGGTCTGCACATCACGAGGCCCGACACAGCTCAGCTGCTGAGCAAACGCTGTGCCCTAAAGACCCATGGGATCCACGCAGGCGGGATTTCCACCTGGCATCGGCCTCACTTCGACGATAATGCTGGACCCCGCGCCCTGCGGACCCAAGCCGTCGGTCTACCGAGACTTTGGGGCAAAGAGGGTGAGACTGAATGATGTCCACTTCCTTGTGAGTTCTCTCTAACCCCCCCCCCCAAGCTGGGATCCTGTCCAAGAGACCCCACCCCACCCACGAAGGCCAGAGTTCAGTGTGCTGGCTTCCCAACCCCCTTAGTTGGCCATAGTACGTGCGTCAACAAGGGGCACCTCCAGCTTCGGGATTTTGTCCGGCGTCGGGGGCAGCTCAGCTATGGGTCTTTTTGTTGCCCAGAAGTCTTTGTCTTCCTGACCAGAAGGGTCCGGTCCTAAGAGACGCTAGAGCAGGAGGAAGGGCGCAAAGTCCTATGTACACGTGGGAAGGAAGACGAGGGCGGGGGCCCCCTCGGGAGGCGGGAGGAGCACCTTCGGCCCACCGCTCAGAGGACGGAGAGGTCGTGGCAGGACTTGGAGCGGACCCTCAGGGCCACCTTCTTGTTGTTGCGGGCCACCAGCCGGTCGAGGAAGCGGCGCACTTTCTTGGTGAGGCTCTCCTTGCGCTTGTAGAGCGACATCCGCCTGGCGTTGGCCTCCTTGCTGTCCCGCCGCAGGCGGATCTGCCGCACCACCCCCTCGAAGAGCTCCGTCACGTTGTGCTGCAGGGCGGCCGACGTCTCGATGAACTTGCAGTCGAAGACCACGGCGCAGGCCCGGCCCTCTGCCGAGAGAGGAAGACCCACCGGTCAGTGCTGTGCCACGCGACGGAGTGGGGAGAGGCAAATCTGGCTGGATGCAGGGCTGCCTCCTCCCCAGTCGGGGGGGGGAGAGCCCCGCCCCCCTGCTGGCCACTCGGCTGGACAGTGGGGGGAAATGTCAGGGAAACTGGGGAGAGCGTCAGCAATGTCTTGACTCACGAATGCCACTTCCTGTGCACCCAGAAGCGAAGTCAGAAGTCACTGGGGACCCTCTGGCATTTGTGCAAAACTCTATGGTTAAACCACAGAGCAGGCAAGTCCAACTTCAAACAGGTAGGCCAAAAGTGCCGGTGATCTACCACCATGAAAATAAAGCAAAACTCTTAAACCATAGTTAAACCATAGGGCAGGCATGTCCAACTTCAAACAGGTAGTGAGTCAGTGTTCCCTCTAAGCTGAGTTAGTGTGAGCTAGCTCACAGTTTTTTAGCCTCCAGCTCACACATTTTTGTCTTAGCTCAGGAAGGAGGGCTC